ACCAGAAATTCGGTGCCTTATTAACCAGCTGTCAAAAGTGTGTGTCAGATTGTGTCGTTATCTCGGTCACCCTCACCGCCTCAGCCAGCCATCCGGACACAGGTATCTCACGCGAGGCATACGTCTCTCACGCTAGCTAGACGTGTGTGTGTGTGTGTCCTGTCCCTGTCTACCTCTCACGTGTTCACCTGACCCCGTGACACTAATGCCGGATCCGCCACCAATACCCACCTGTATCCCCCTCTCTTCCCCCTTCCCCTCTCCTCCCTCCTTTCCCCTTCCCCCGCCCGCCTTCCTTCCCCCCACCTGTCTGGAGCAAGAATGCAGCTCACTACAGCTTCATTAACCTGGTGCCTTCAAGGTCCTGCAAGTGTGACTGGTGCCTCTAGACCACCCTCCTGTCCCTCTCCCATTCAAATCCCCCTCCCTCCCCTCCCTTCAGACCCATCTGAGCTCTCTCACTGACCTGTATCCTCTCCAGGTCTCTCCCTCTACGGTTGCTGTCTCTTGCTGTCCTGTACATAATACCTGTACAACCATACTTGTACATCATGACTTGTATATGCAGTCTTCACCTAATCACCTTCCTCCTCCCCAAACACCCACCCCCCTCCCATTCCTCCACCTTCCCATTCCACCTTTCCTCCACCCCAACTTCCCCCATTTTTCTTCCCTATCCTCACCAGCCTCCCCCTCCTTCCCCTATCCTCGCCCCCCTCCCTCCCCTCCCCACTTCTACCTACCCTCACCAACCTCCCCTCCTTCCCCTATCTCGCCCCCCTCCTCCCCCCCTCACCCATCACCTACCCCTCCTTCCTACCCCACCCCTACCCCCACCACCCCTACCTTCCCACACCCCTTCCCACATCCTCCCCCTCCCTCACCTCCCTCCCAAGAACCAGTCTAAATTCCTGTATTGCTTCAGTACTTGTGTTTTCAGGTACGCAGGACTTTTTTTTCCCCCTGAGGCCCGGGTTAGTTGAGACGGTAATGAGCGTGTCGTATAGCCTTGGCGTTAATTGGTCTACACATGACTCTACAGCCTCCACAGGTTGAATCTCGCGCCTTGAATCTGTGCCATGATGGAGGGGAATTTGCATTACGAGGCAGGCTGGGAGGTGGGAAGGGGAGAAGGGGTAGAGGGAGGGAGGCAGGCAGGTGTGAGGTGAAGGGTGGAGGAGGAGGTAGTTAGGGAGGAGAAGGTGGTGTGGGGAGGGGTGGTGGGTTAGGAAGGGGGAGTAGGGGTACATAGTGAGGAGGAAGGGGTGTGGGGAAGAGAAAGATTAGAAGGTGTAGAGAGGGAGAATGATTTTTTTACCTTTCTCTCCCTCCCATTCTTTCCTATCCTCCTCCTCCTTCGCCCCCCCCCCTCCCATACTTCCCTCACCTCTTACTCCCATAAATCCCCTCACTTTTCCTAAATTCCCCTCTTCACCTCCTTTCTTCTACCCTCTCTCCTCGTCCATTTCCCCCTCTTTCCATTCCTCCTCTTTTCGCCCCCTGCCACTCTTCCACTTCTCCCCCTCCTCCCTCTCCCCCCTCCTCCCCTCTCCCCCCTCCTCCCTCTCCCCTCCCCTCTCCCCCTCCTCCCCTCTCCCCCCTCCCCCTCCCTCTGACAGCCACTCAGTACCTCACCTGTCATTAACACGGGTCGTTAGTGACGTGGCAAAAAGATGGCAGGTTGATGATGCGGGTAAAACACACGTGGATACGGGCATAGGTGGTGGAGAAAGACAGACGGACAGAAAGGTCTTCATATAGACAGACAGTCACAATAAAGTACAGAGAGACGGACGGACAGACAGACGTGGAAAGCATCGTGTGGACGTGGAAGGCATCGTGTGAGCGCGAGATAGGCATCGTGTAGGTGTGGGCATGATATGGGCGTGGGAAAGGCATCGTGAGGGCGTGGGAGAGGCATCGTGTAGGTGTGGGAGAGGCATCGTGTGGGCGTGGGAAAGGCATCGTGTGGGTGTGGGAAAGGTATCTTGTGGAAGAGGCATCGTCTGGGCGTGGGAGAGGTTGTGGTTGTGGGAGAGGCATCGTGTAGGCGTGGAAGGCATCGTGTGGGCGTGAGAGAGGCATCGTGTGTCGTGGGAGAGGCATCGTGTGTCGTGGGAGAGGCATCGTGTGGGCGTGGGAAAGGCATCGTGTAGGCGTAGGTGGCAGGAGCCTTAAGTCGCCAGCAGAACCCTCAGACCGACAGCAGGAGCCTCAAGTCGCCAGCAGGAGCCTCAAGTTGAGCAGAAGCCTCAGGTCAGGAGCCTCAAGTTGGAGCCTCAGCAGGATCGCCAGCAGAACCCTCAGACCGACAGCAGGAGCCTCAAGTCGCCAGCAGGAGCCTCAAGTTGCCAGCAGGAGCCTCAAGTTGCCAGCAGGAGCCTCATATCGCCAGCAGGAGCCTCATATCGCCAGCAGGAGCCTCAAGTCGCCAGCTGGAGTCACTGTAACCAGAAACTTAGGGAAACAGTGTACTGAGCCAGACAGATACAGACATAAACTGTACAACTGTAATAACACTGACGTGGCTGAGCCTTAGGAGAGTTACAGCTGTGTTGAAAAGCCATCTGAGATAACACATTCAGGTTGAAATATTTATACACCGTGGCGTATCATCTTGCACATAGGAAATACACGGTGTATGGCATCAGTGTGGCGGGAGAAGGGATACAGTTGTTTGTGTTACCTGAAGGCGAGAAATGCTGGAGGTAAACACAATACAGTATCGAATTGGGAAGGAAAAACTATTGTAATAAAAGGAATTAAGGAAAAAGAATAACAGCTACAGAAACACAATATCGAATTAGGGAAAAGAAAACAAAATAACACAAGCGTAATATCAAATTCCAGCATCAGTAATGAGACTAATGACATAATTACATTTGAAAACAGAGTCAGAATTTAGACGAAATGGAGAATAATAGCCACGGGCCGCTAGAAAATGCCACGGGCCGCCAGCAGGAGCCACGGGTCGCCAGCAGGAGCCACGGGTCGCCAGCAGGAGCAGAACCTCGCCAGCAGGAGCCGCAGGTCGCCTCCCTCACAAGCGTGCCGCCAGCTACCCAACACTGTGTTTTATACCGGTGTTGTATTTCTCAACGCGGTGGATAATCTCATAATTGCGTTTTTGTGGTGGTGTTGTGAGCCTGTGTGTCAGCTGGTCGTGTCACCCCCCCACTCCCACTCCCGAGGATCATCGCCTATGTCCTCATCTAGTTACACTCATACATCTCCCATACGCACACGACTTACGAACACCCATATAAAGTTATCTCATTTTCTGGCTTTACGCACATACACCCAGTTACGCACACAGCTACGGACGCTCTTCGAAATATATTGCCTTGTCTGGTTAAACACATACTATACCCTAACGCACACAGTTATGAAGATGCAAGTAAATATTTTGCTTAGTCCTATTGCACACATACGACGCAGACAGCTACTTACACTTGTCTTAATGTTTGCTAGTGTAGCTGCGTACATGCTTATAAACACCTCTTTTTACACCACATACTCACATGCACGACACCCACCCACCGACACACCGAGATACGCACATAGGCGGTGCTGGTCGTACACATCCTGACATTATCTTTACTCTTCAACACATTCGCCTCACCCACACCCATGTTTCCGCACGCCCACACCCCACGATGCCCTCTCACGTCTGCTAGGCCTCTCACACACATACCTGCCTGCCTGCCTGCGGAAACGGGTCGGATGTTTCTTGTTGAGAGACGTGACTGAAAGGTTTAGATGTAGGTTACTGTGTACACGCGAGGTGACAGTGGCTGTTAAACACACACACACACACCATTATTATTATTATTATTATTATTATTATTATTATTATTATTATTATTATTATTATTATTATTATTATTATTATTATTATTATTATTATTATTATTAAACCGCCGCCCCACGCTAGGCCATGAACAAAATAAAAGTAAAAAAAAATCAAATCAAACAAAAGTAAATAAATAAAAAATGAGAAAACGTTCTTGTCAAAGCACTTGGTCACTATTAGTGTTTATCTAAATTTCACCTTCGTAGCTCAAAAGGTGCCTGATATTTCACTCAGACAAGCAATCAAGAGAAATAGTGAGTGAGTGTATTGTGACTGGCATTGGCAGTTGAGTGTGTAGTGACTGGCATTGACAGTTGGGTGTGTAGTGACTGGTAGTGACAGATGAATGTGTAGTGACAGGAGACAGTAAAGTGAGTGAGCTTCGATAGGCAGAAGAAAGTGGAGGACAAACCTAAATTAACATTTTTAGGACAAAATTCAACATAATCTAACCTTGTCATGACCCGGGATTTTGATCGTGTGGGAAATTGTCCAATGAGAAATTGTCCAGTGGGAAATTGTCCACTGAGGTTTTTGTCCAGTGGGAAATTGTCCAAGGTGATTTCAGTCTAGCAGGATTTTCGTGGCAGTGAACGTACAGGTAGAAGTAACAGCCCTGCCAGCCGTCCTAGGAGTTAATAACATGGAGTACTGTGGTGATAGTGTTAATCGTGGGCCAGAAGAGGGTCACCCAGGATCACTTTACCGAGGGGGGGGGGAGGGTAGGGGACACGGAGGGCAAGTATGAGGTGGAGAGGTTAAGTACTGTGTTTACTGCAACAAATCTGAAGCTGAATTGTGTGTGTGTGTGTGTGTGTAGTATTATGTTACTGCAACAATTGATAGAATGAAAGAACATGAATCAGACGGACATACAAACAAATTTAAGTACTGTTATATATACTGTTTATATATAATATTAAACTAAGACAGACAGACACATACATACATACATACATACATACATACATACATACATACATACATACATACATACTGTCTACCACAACAAGCCAAGTAGGAGGAGGAAAGTTATTTACAGTGGTGACAAATATTTAATGGCTTCTCCTGTAGTGTTGTCTGGCTGTAGCTTGTCGAGTAGGAGCCTCACTCAGCCTGCAGTATGATACGTGTAATAACATGCAGATCAGGTTTTTGAATGTAAAATTGCAAAAGGATCGTACAGGATGTTGTTGTGTGATGCAGGACGTTGTTGAGTGATGCAGGATGTTGTTGAGTGATGCAGGACGTTGTTGAGTGATGCAGGACGTTGTTGAGTGATGCAGGACGTTGTTGAGTGATGCAGGACGTTGTTGAGTGATGCAGGACGTTGTTGAGTGATGCAGGACGTTGTTGAGTGATGCAGGATGCTGTGAGTGATGCAGGACGTTGTTGAGTGATGCAGGACGTTGTTGGTGATGCAGGATGCTGTTGAGTGATGCAGGACGTTGTTGAGTGATGCAGGACGTTGTTGAGTGATGCAGGACGTTGTTGAGTGATGCAGGACGTTGTTGGTGATGCAGGACGTTGTTGAGTGATGCAGGACGTTGTTGGTGATGAGTGATGCAGGACGTTGTTGGAGTGATGCAGGACGTTGTTGAGTGATGCAGGATGCTGTTGAGTGATGCAGGACGTTGTTGAGTGATGCAGGATGCTGTTGGTGATGCAGGACGTTGTTGAGTGATGCAGGACGTTGTTGGTGATGCAGGACGTTGTTGATGGGACGTTGTTGAGTGATGCAGGACGTTGTTGGTGATGCAGGACGCTGTTGAGTGATGCAGGACGCTGTTGAGTGATGCACGACGTTGTTGAGTGATGCAGGACGTTGTTGAGTGATGCACGACGTTGTTGAGTGATGCACGACGTTGTTGAGTGATGCAGGACGTTGTTGAGTGATGCAGGACGTTGTTGAGTGATGCAGGACGTTGTTGAGTGTTGCAGGATGTTGTTGAGTGTTGCAGGATGCTGTTGAGTGTTGTAGGATGTTGTTGAGTGTTGTAGGATGCTGTTGAGTGTTGTAGGATGCTGTTGAGTGTTGTAGGATGCTGTTGAGTGTTGTAGGATGCTGTTGAGTGTTGTAGGATGCTGTTGAGTGTTGTAGGATGTTGTTGGGTGTTGTAGGATGTTGTTGAGTGTTGTAGGATGTTGTTGAGTGTTGTAGGATGTTGCAGAGTTTTATAATGTTGAAGTGTTGTTGAAGTGCTGTAGAATGTTGAAAAGTGTTGTAGAATGTTGAAAAGTGTTTCAGAATGTTGCAGTGTGTTGTAAGATTTTGCAGGGTGTTGCAGAGTTGTAGGATTTTGCAGGGTGTTGTAGGAGGTTGTAGGATTTTGCAGGGTGTTTTAGGGTGTTGCAGAGTTGTAGGATTTTGCAAGGTGTTGTAGGAGGTTGTAGAGTGTTGCAGAGTGTTGTAGGATTTTGCAGTGTGTTGTTGGATGTTGCAGGGTGCTACAGAGTATTGCAGCCGCCGTTGCTCTGATGAGATCACAGAACAACCGCCAAAAAAATAATCTAGATTTAACAAACAATTTGACACGAAATATTTTGTTTTTATTCTATGTTTTTAAAGCTTCTTGTGGTTATTTTTTTCTCACGGTTTTTTAATTAAAATTTTTACCTTGTTATAGTCGTGACAGATAAGCGAAGGGTATTTAAGAACCGCTCGTCATACCCCAGGGGTGAGTGCTTAAGATAGCATCACTGGCTGGAAGCGCTACGTTCAAACACAAACATCACGGCTTCTTGTTTGAGGAGCAGCACAGAGCCCCCAGTCAGTGATGGTATCTCGGGGACGTCACACAGAGCTGAGATAACTCCTTAATACCTTCTGGCTTATCTGAGACGTATTAGACTAGTTTTATTTTTGTAAGTCCGTCAATTTATTAAGTAATTATTATTAAAGCCTTTTGGTGTTGTGAAGTGCAGGTGTGCTAAATGAGACGGGTTCCTGCCGCGTGAGTAGTGTTTGGGATTTCGGCTACGTCTCATCGTGTTGGTAGGTTAAGTTTTGCCTTGTGTGTGTGTGTGTTTGGGGGGGGACTACAGGGGTATGGGAGGAGGTAGAAGAGTTGTGGTCGGGCCGCTCCTCACAGTCACTGGCCGGGTAACCCCACACAGTTACTGGCCGGGTCGCCTCACACAGTCACTGGCCGGGTCACCCGCCCTGGGAGGCATCACAGTCGACCGCCCTAATTGGCCAGCCTAATCTTTGTGCTGTGAGGAAGTAATTGCATTTGGCAGGTTGATTAAGGCTTCACTTGGGAATTATGGCCGATTAGAACGTTTGATGAAGGATTGTCGAGGCGGAGACTAAAAGATTAGTTGGCCTTTACCGAATCGCCAATCGCAATTATGGTCTGCGTGTTGTGGGGGGTGAGGGCGTGTATGGGGAATAGGTATAGGGCGTGTGGGTAGCGTGTAGAGGAGTAGGGCAGTTGTGAGTGGCGTGTAGGGGTTATGGAAGGGGTGGCAGATGAGAGGCAACTCTGTGTGTGTGAGTGACTTTTTTTTATATCTGTCTGTCTACCTTTCTTATACTACCTGTCTATCTCTGTCTCTTCCGGATATGCGAGAGAGCAAGCTTGTGTGTACCTGCGAGACATGTTTGGGTGGTCATGCTGTACATTAATGTTGTTGATGGAGTAAGGTAACTTCTTTACACATCTGTCACAGGAACGCACCACTGACCCCGGGGAACCTCACAAAACATAATGATATAAACCCCACATGATAGGGTATATGACTCGAGCTTCCTGGGGAAAAAAATACCATGGTGAAAAGACGTGTTATGTGTAGATGCAGTTTGCAACCACACAAACTAATATGAAGATGAAGGGTATAGTGATAATGGTAGAGATATATGTAAAATGGAATAATGACATGATATGAATAATGAAAAATATATCATAATGTGTTTACTGATGCAACAGGAATTGAGAGTATTTTTATTTTTTTATATAATGTTCATGCATAAGAATCTATTAACATTTAATTTTGCATCTCATCTATCTTGGAACATTTCACTGGTCACATAAAAGGCAATGTTGTCTGAGACTATTTTGTACACATCGCATGGTGTTTACAACGCGTGTCTACACAGAGAATATCACGTGGACAAGCACTCGACTGGTCAGTGTAAACAAAGTCACGTGACCCGATGACGTCAAAGGCGATGATTGGCGACATAGTTCTGCTTTCCGCCGCCAGATGACTTATAAATCATCGGGTCTTTGCTTGTGCTTGAAGGATTCTTTGTCGCTTTTATTTGCTTTATTTCTCTGTTGTAAGTTAATGTTTTTTCATTTGTTCGTATTTGCAGTGGAAGTCATTGCGAATTATTTTTAGGGGTGGGAGAGATACGCCAGACGTGGTTGATTGCTCGTACTGGCGAAGTTTTTATAGTCAAGGTTCTTAGTTACTACCAGGCTGGAGAAATTTTACACCTCCCACACTATAAAAAAAAACGACGCTGGCACGAGCAGTCAACAACGTCTGGCGTTTCAACACCACACACCTCCAGCACAACCACCACCACCACCTACCACAATCACCACCACCTACCACAATCACCACCACCTACCACAATCACCACCACCTACCACAATCACCACCACCTACCACAACCATCACCACCTACCACTACCATCTACTACAACCACCACCTACCACAGTCACCACCACATTACAACCACCACTACCTCCTCCACACCACCTACACCCACCACTGATTACCACCACCACATACCTCCCACCACCACCACCGCACCTCCTCCACCACCACTACCTTCTCCACCACCTACCTCCCACCACCTACCACCACCACCTACATTACCACCACCACCCCACCTTACAACACCACACCCCACCACTACATACCTCACCACACCCCACCACCACATACCTCCCACCACCACCACCCACATACCCCCACCACCACCCCTTACCTCCCACCACACCACCACATACCTCCTCCCACCACCACCTACCCCACCACCACCGCATTACAAACACCACACCCACCACTACATACCTCCACCACCACACCCACCACCACATACCTCCACCACCACACCCACCACCACATACCTCCTCCACCACCACCTTCCCTCTTCAATGACAAACTTCAAATACTATACCAGACGAACTTGCGCCCACCTTCTGCCTACAGTGGCGCTCTTACGACAGGCTCCTTTACTACATTACTGTCCATTAACCAGTGTTTGTGATGTGTACTTGACGCTAATACCACTGAAGGAAGCACCACGCAGGTATACACTCATTAGGGTTTTAAATTTCTCAGGTGACAAGGCTGCTGCGGTGAGGTATTGTGGCGGTAAGCTTGGAGGAAATTGGAAAAGGAAAATGGCTTGGGGGAGGAACCCACTATTGTATTTTTGTTTATTTTATTTATTTTTTATATTTTTTAAATGTTTGTTTCTTAACATGGGATATATAGGTCATAAAAATGGATAGTCTCTCTCTCTCTCTCTCTCTCTCTCTCTCTCTCTCTCTCTCTCTCTCTCTCTCTCTCTCTCTCTCTCTCTCTCTCTCTCTCTCTCTAAGATTAAATACACTAACCTAACCCCTCCAGGTAGCGTTAAGGTGTTTCATCATCAGGTGAAATAAGCTGGTAGGTGAGGGGGACTAATTTACAGGTGATCCATATTTTATTTTATTTTGATACACTCGCTCGTGTGTGTGTGTGTGTGTGTGTGCGGTCATTAATTTGGCCGTGTTCGTTAGCCGTAATTGTTAACCTATATTGTTACCCCGCTTCGTTAGTGTTGTTCGTTAGTCCTGTTCGTTAATTCTCTAAGTGTTAATATCCTTCCCACTCTTCGTTAATTAAGTTTTATATTTGTTTGTTAACTCATGATTTTGTTGTTTGTATCTTTTTCTCGTTAAACCTGTTCGTTAAGTAATTTTTATATGTATTTACTGCTCGTTAGTCGTGTCTCTCCTCGTTAAAACTTGTTGGGTGACAATATACGATCACGTAAAGTCCCTAGACTTTGTTAATTTTGGTCTTTAACCATGTTCGTTAACCCATCCTCCTCATTAAACATGTTCGTTAACCCATCCTCCTCGTTAAACATGTTCGTTAACCCATCCTCCTCATTAAACATGTTCTTTAACCCATCCTCCTCGTTAAACATGTTCGTTAACCCATCCTCCTCATTAAACATGTTCGTTAACCCACCCTCCTCGTTAAGCATATTCGTTAACTCACCATCCTCGTTAAGCATGTTCTTTAACCTACCCTCCTCGTTAAGCAAGCTCGTTAACCCACCCTCCTCGTTAAGCAAGCTCGTTAACCCCTCCTCGTGAAGATGTTCTTAACCTACCTCGTTAAGCATGTTCTTTAACCTACCCTCCTCGTTAAGCAAGCTCGTTAACCCACCCTCCTCGTTAAGCAAGCTCGTTAACCCACAGTGCCTAGAGATCTACTTGTTTACATACATTAGTTAGTTTTGATCATAAATCAGCTCGTTAACTCACCCTCTCGTTTGACCCACTGCCCTCGTTAGAACTTTGTTAAATCTCCCTCCTCGTTAGAACTATTCATAAAAGTTGTTCATTCATTATCCCTCCTCGTTGAAGCTGTTCGTTACGCATCTCATCTCGTTAGACATGAGGGGCTTAACGTGTGTGTGTGTATGAGAGAGAGATTTCCAGCTGTAAATCCAATTTTTTGAAATACAGTAATTGGTTGAACAAGAACACTCAAAACATAATGACAGTGAACAAGCCAATTAAAACTATTGGACAACAGGTGTGTTTCTCTTACCTGTGTTTCTATAATAATAATCATTTACGACCTCTTAGAAATGTTTATGTATTAAATTAACTTTTTATTTCTTGTCTTTCAGGTGAGTGAGAGGTTGACAGTCACCTAGGTTCATCAGGTGAGTGAAGGAGGGAGGAGGAGACTCACTTAGGTTCATCAGGGGAGTGAAGGAGGGAGGGAGGGAGACTCACTTAGGTTCATCAGGGGAGGAAGGAGGAGGAGGAGACTCATGGTTCACAGGGGGGGGGGGGGGGAGAGACTCACTTAGGTTCATCAGGTGAGTGAAGGGGAGGAGACTCTTGGTTATCAGGGAGTGAGGGAGGAGGAGGAGACTCTTAGGTTCATCAGGGGGAAGGAGGAGGGAGGAGACTCATAGGTTCATCAGGAGTGAAGGAGGGAGGGGAGACTCCTTGTTCATAGAAGGAGGAGGAGACTCATAGGTTCATCAGGGGAGTGAGGAGGGAGGAGGAGGGAGACTCACTTAGGTTCATCAGGGGGTGAAGGAGGAGGAGGAGACTCACTTGGGTTCATCAGGGTGAAGGAGGGAGGAGGAGACTCCTTAGGTTCATCAGGAGGAGGGGGAGGGAGGAGACTCTTGGTTCATCAGGGGAGGGAGGAGACTCACTTAGGTTCATCAGGTAGTGAAGGAGGGAGCCGGTTCACAGATGAGGGGAGGCCTAGGTTCATCAGAGTGGAGGAGGAGACTCCTTAGGTTCATCAGGAGTGAAGGAGGGAGGAGACTCACTTAGGTTCATCAGGTGAGTGAGGGAGGGAGGACCACCAGGTTCATCAGGGGAAGGAGGGAGGGAGACTCACTTAGGTTCATCAGGGAGGAGGGGGAGGGAGACTCCTTAGGTTCATCAGGGGGTGAAGGAGGGAGGAGGGAGACTCACTTAGGTTCATCAGGTGAGTGAGGGGAGGGAGCTCTGTTCATGGGGGAGGAGGAGGAGACTCACTTAGGTTCATCAGGTGAGTGAAGGAGGGAGGAGACTCACTTAGGTTCATCAGGTGGTGAGGAGGGAGGAGACTCATAGGTTCATCAGGTGAGTGAAGGAGGGAGGAGGAGACTCACTTAGGTTCATCAGTGAGTGAAGGAGGGGAGGAGACTCACTTGGGTTCATCAGGGGTGAAGGAGGGAGGAGGAGACTCACTTAGGTTCATCAGGGAGGGAGGGAGGGAGGAGGGAGACTCACTTAGGTTCATCAGGGAGTGAAGGAGGAGGAGGAGACTCACTTAGGTTCATCAGGGAGGAGGAGGAGACTCACTTAGGTTCATCAGGTGTGAAGGAGGGAGGGAGGGAGGGAGACTCACTTAGGTTCATCAGGGGAGGGAGGGAGGAGGGAGGAGGAGACTCACTTAGGTTCATCAGGTGAGTGAAGGAGGGAGGAGACTCACTTAGGTTCATCAGGGGAGGGAGGAGGGAGACTCACTTAGGTTCATCAGGGGGGAGGGAGGAGGGGGAGGGGGAGGAGACTCACTTAGGTTCATCAGGTGAGTGAAGGAGGGAGGAGACTCACTTAGGTTCATCAGGGGAGGGAGGAGGAGACTCACTTAGGTTCATCAGGGGAGGGAGGGAGGGAGGGAGGGAGACTCACTTAGGTTCATCAGGTGAGTGAAGGGGGAGGAGGGCCTTGGGTTCATCAGGGGTGAGGGAGGGAGGGAGGGAGACTCACTTAGGTTCATCAGGGGAGGGAGGAGGGAGGGAGGGAGGAGACTCACTTAGGTTCATCAGGGGTGGAGAGGGAGGGAGGAGACTCCTTAGGTTCATCAGGGGAGGGAGGGGAGGAGGAGTCACCAGGTTCATCAGGGGTGAGGGAGGAGGACTCCTTGGTCATCAGGTGAGTGAGGGAGGAGGGAGACTCACCTAGGTTCAACAGATGAGGGAGGAGACTCACCTAGGTTCAACAGATGAGGGAGGAACACTAGGTTCAACAGATGAGGGAGGGAGGCTCACCTAGGTTCAACAGATGAGGAGGAGACTCACCTAGGTTCAACAGATGAGGAGGAGACTCACCTAGGTTCAACAGATGAGGAGGAGACTCACCTAGGTTCAACAGATGAGGAGGGAGACTCACCTAGGTTCAACAGATGTGGGAGGAGACTCACCTAGGTTCAACAGATGAGGGAGGGAGACTCACCTAGGTTCAACAGATGAGGAGGGAGACTCACCTAGGTTCAACAGATGAGGAGGGAGACTCACCTAGGTTCAACAGATGAGAGGAGACTCACCTAGGTTCAACAGATGAGGGCAGGGAGACTCACCTAGGTTCAACAGATGAGGCAGGAGACTCACCTAGGTTCAACAGATGAGGCAGGAGACTCACCTAGGTTCATATGGTGGGTGAGGGAGGGAGGTAGTACTTGGTGAGGATGCTACAGTACTTATCTAAGTTTGTGT